TAATGGTGGACAGGACCACATGGCTTGAAGCTCCAAAGTGAAAAGGATGATCACATGCTTCAAGATGTTGGGCGAAGGAAAAGAAGGGCAGACCAAGATGCCGAGAGACCCTTACATACCCTCTTTTGGGCTCCCCTTAGTGTTTCCTGTTCCTGTGTAAGAATTGTATCTCATTGGCTGTCAGACTCCCAGGGGCGGGGGTCTTAACTAACTTTGTAGGCTTTGTCTGGACCACATGTCTTCACCTGAGTATTGGCTGATACACTCAGGCCAGGTGGTAAGATGGGTAGAGGCCTTTATTATGTAGAATACTCTGGCCTAGGCCTTAATTGTCCATTAGCAAAGTTGTGGGGTGGGGAGTTGAGTTTCTGCCTCTCTGAGGTGAATTTCTGTTTCTGAGTTTCTACTCTTTTTAGGGGAAATATTCTGCCTTTTTAATATTTCCTAGGATATTTAATTTTTCTAGGAAAGGGGTGGGTGTTAATTTCCTACAAAAGATTTCTGTTTGACACTGCTATTCAACATATGAGCGATTATTGCTGTGCTCAAGGTTATAATTTCATTACATGCCTCCCAGATTTCCATGGGGAAAAAACCCTCCAAAACCAAACATTTCAAGTAGTTTATTGGAATAATGCTTGTTAAAAGAAAACAGGCTCTTTATCAAATCCCTCTCATAGGCCTAGTTCCCAATAAGTAAGCCAGGAGAAAGATTATGTTAAAGACCCGGAAAGAATTATATACTGTAAACTAGGATTGCTTATGTGAAAGAATTAATTTTTAGTTTTGTTGCTGTTGTGATTTTTGATGAATTGAAAGAGGGGAGAGAATTCAAGCCATCAAGTATATCTGGAGAAAGCAGGGTTTTGCTTCAATTTTCTATCTAATCTAACCAATTGTTCACAGACTTATTTCCTTCTCTCCCATATGTCTGTGGGACTAGGGAGGGTGGGAAAAGAAAAGCTAGAGTTTTAATTCCTCCCCCAGCTTCTCCTCTCCTATCCCTAACTTGGAGCATCGTTTTGGATAGAGAGCAAAGATGAAAGAATTCTGTTAGAAGAGAGTGATTGCTTTTTTTTTACCCTGTGAAGCAAACTGATCTCATGGGATTCTCCCACATTTTCCATTTGCCGTTTGTCCTTAGTGGTGGAAGATCTGGTTTTAATTGCATGAAGTTCTGATGAACATCCTCCATTGTATGAAAGGGGATGAAAGATAAACCTTGTGCATTGAAGACTGTTGTAAGGGTGAGGGAGAAGGGCAATTTAGAGACGTTTGGAAGTACAATCCACTTCATGAGCCTGGGCTTGGCACCTTAGCAGATCTTTAGCAATTGCAATTTAAATTCAAATTCCTTCCTTTTGTTTGGGTTGCTGGTGCATGCCATTTCCATGAGTGAATGCAGAAGTGACTGACAGTCTTGAGAATTCTGCTGCTTCCAAAAGTCACTTCTGAAGAGGAAGCAATTGGTTCTCCTGTGTTGTTTCCGATGTACACAGTTGTTAAATGTCATTCAACTGTAAAATAGGCCAAAGGTTTAGTCCATTTCTTATTGCACTGAGCAGTAAAGAAGATGCTTCCTTCAGTTCAGTTTTTATCAGAATATAGGGGAATGGCTTTGCTGTTAACTATATTAAAAAGGCAAAAGGGAAAGGAAAATGTGATACATATTTGTAGAATACATTGATCTAGAATACAGATAGTCCTCGCCTTATGACCACAATTGAGCCCAAAAGTCCTATGGCTAAGTGAGACATTTGTTAAGTGAGTTTTGGCTCATTTTACAACCTTTCTTGCCACAGTTGTTAAGTGAATCACTGCAGTTGTTAACTTAGTAATACAGTTATTACATGAATCTGGCTTCCCCATTGACTTCGCTTGTCAGAAGGTGGCAAAAGTGATCACGTGACTCCAAGACACTGCAGTTGTCATAAATATGATTCAGTTGCCAAGTGTCTGGATGTTGACCATGTGACCATGGGGATTGCGCAATTCCTAGTTGGGGGGAAAGAGAGAGAGACACCAAGACCCAAGGTCACCAGCTGTTTTTTGCCTAAGGCAGGACTAGAACTCAGAATGTTCCAGTTTTCAATTCAGCATCCGTAACCATTACATAACTGATTTAGACATCCAGTATTTGATCATTCTTCCTATGGCAAAGATTGTGCATTTCCAAATACATTTGGATACCTAACATCAAAAACGTCATCAAAAAAAGCACAACAAAGAATGTTCTTTCTGCGCCAACTCAGGAAGCTCAAACTGCCCAAGGAGCTGCTGATACAGTTCTACAGAGGAATTATTGAGCCTGTCATCTGCACTTCTATAACGGTCTGGTTTGGTTCTGCAACCCAACAGGACAGACACAGACTTCAGAGGATAATTAGGACTGCAGAAAAAAACAATTACTACCTACCTGCCTTCAACCGAGGACCTGTATACTGCACGAGTCAAAAAGAGGGATGTGAAAATGTATTTAGAGACCCCTCACATCCCGGACATAAACTGTTTCAATTCCTACCCTCAAAACGACACTATAGAGTACTGCACACCAGAACAACTAGACACAAGGACAGTTTTTCCCCGAACACCATCACTCTGCTAAATAAATAATTCCCTCAACACTGTTCAACTATTTACAAAGTGTGCACTACTATTACTATTAATCTTCTCATCACTGCTTATCACCCCTCCCCTCCCACTTGTAACTGTATGACTATAACCTTGTTGCTTGTATCCTAATGATTTTTACTGTTTCCTAGTATGATTTGATTGCTTATTGCACCTATGACTATTATTAAGTGTTGTACCTTATGATTCTTGACTCTTGATGAATGTATCTTTTCTTTTATGTACACTGAGAACATATGCACCAAGACAAATTCCTTGTGTGTCCAATCACACTTGGCCAATAAAGAATTCTATTCTATTCTATGTTAGGGAGTGAGCAAGAGGAAAGAATTTTTGTTGTTGTTATTTTGATGTCTGTCAGAGGTTAACTCTCCCTGTGCATATAAAGGTAAAACAGTAAACCATCTTTAAGGGAACTTTGACTTCTGATAACTTACTCATATAGCTTTCTTGGCATCAGAACAGAAATGATTTGTCTTTTGGGGGGTTACTTCTGCAATTTGTCAATCTAGCCTTCAACTCTAACTTTCCTAGTAATCTTCCACTTAAATATTAACTTAATCTATCGGAGATCAACTGAAGTCTTCTAAGTGCTCTCATTTAACAGATAAAAAGGTAAATCTTAAAAAATGGTACCGTAAATTGTATCCAATATTCTGTTAGCCACTTCAGGCTGAAAGGCTTTGAAGTGATTTGATTTTCCAAGGAGAAATCCTCCTGAATATTTTAAAGCAGTAAAATCTCTACTGACAAATGAACTATATTTCTTAGCTACGTATTTCAGAATCTCTTTTTCTTTCATCTTCAAAGAACTTCATTTCAACCATTGAAAAAAAAATCGAATTCTTACGCTATCATCAAACGGTGCTATAAAAACTAGAGGGGCGGAGAGGTTCACCCTGGTTTTTCTAAAAAGACAGGAGATTATTACCCAAAAATGTTTTTCTACTTCATGTTAACATATATTGCTGGCACTATTCCAATTGCCTTGCTCTCTCAAGATAATGTTCCAGTGGATTCTTTAGGCCTATTGTTCCTGTTCTTGTTTGCTTTTATGATCTAATGTATTTTATCTGAATTATGCTCTTAAATTACCTGACAAACAGTAGGAGAATTTCATTGTGCTTGCCTTCTGATGAATCATCTTATGGTCCATGTGTTAACAATAATAAAAAATGCATATACCATCTGACTCCTAGTGACTATCCACCCAGGGATAGTCTTGAATTAGTACCTTTCCCTAGTATGCCATTCCTTGTTTAGTGACCATCTCAGTTAGTGACTGTTTGCAAATGCAGCACTAATAAAAAGCATTTTAAAAAATCACTTTCTGTCCAATGTATGAATTTGCAACCAAATTTGATGCACCCGACAAACAACGCATGCCAGTGTGGGAATAACAAGAAGAGAGTAACAATTTTATCTGAATGAGACAGATACAACTAGTGACCTTCACGCATCTTTCTCTTGATCTCTGCTGTGTTTGCTTAACAACAATTTCCCTTGATGATCTGGTTCCCAGAATAGAACTTGGTTGTTAAATGAGGAGTATGTGCCTACAGCAGAGTGGAGGCTCTTGAATCAATTCAGCTGCATTACAAGGCTTTTTGCTAAGGTGAAGATGATGATGTTATCCATTCAGTCATGTTAGGCTCTTGGTGATCTTATGGACCAGGTGTCTCTATGCTTTCTGATCTTGCACTGCTTCTTTGAGTTATTCTAGACCGGTGATGGCGAACCTATGGCACGTGTGCTGGAAGTGGCACGCAGACCCACCTCTGCGGGCACGAGAGCCGTTGCCCCAGCTCAGTTCCACTGCGCATGTGCACGTTCCTCTTGCCATCCACTTGATTTTTGGCTATCTGCTGCTCATGCGTGCGGGGCGGGGCACATGTGGGAGACGGGTGTGCATGTGCAGGGTCAGGGGGAGCACAGGGGGTTCCGTGCACATGCGCAGGGGGCGGGGGTTGCACGGCGAGGTCGCACGTGCATTGCATTATGGTTGCAGGCATGCATGCACTTTCGGCATGCGATGACAGAAAGGTTAGCCATCACTGTTCTAGCCTCTGGCTGGTGTCAGCTTTGATTGTGTCCAGTCATCTTTGGCAGCCTGGTTTCCTTTTACCATTAATTCTTCCAAGGATAATTGCTTTCTTCAGTGAATGTTGCTGAGGTATTTGTGGCATTTGGAAATTTTGTTCCAACAAATCAAGATTGTACTTGGAGTTATTTCAACTCTTTCAACAGTAATGATATGTTCTCCACTCTAATATTAGTAGATTAGGGAAAACATCAGGTATGGCTGATTGTATTGCTATTAGTAATTTTATTCTGTATTCATTTGAGTGATCTATCCTATTTTCATACAGATTTCTGATATCCATGTTACTGGAGAGTCAGAGGATATGTCTGCTAAAGAGCGGTTGCTTCTTTGGACACAACAGATAACGGAAGGTTGTGCTGGAGTTCGTTGTGAAAATTTCACTACCTGTTGGCGAGACGGGAAACTATTTAATGCCATCATTCATAAATACAGGTATTTGCACTTTTGTTAAAAATGTATGTGGAAATAATTATTCTGAGAAATTAGAAAGTTGCAAAGTTTTATCATTACAACCTGAGGTTTGTTTGGTAAAGCATGCATCATACATTGTAGCAATTAGACAATGGTCTTTTGGAATCAAAGAGATAATCAGCTTAAAGACTGTGATGTCATACCTTATACGTCACATTATTTGGAATTTGCCTTCCTGGGTCTTAATATTGTTGTCCAAATGAGGGTCAAAATCTCAGCAAAAAAAAAAAATCTAAAATGCATAATACCAAGGTATCGGAAGCATAATGAAACCTCATTATAACAAATCATTTGGATAGAATTTGTTGAACCTAAATATCTGTTAAATTTGAAAGTCTGATTTGCGTCATGAAGCCATAGTGAAAGGCATATATTGTGGTGGATATTATAGAATTAAAGGTAAATTTTATCTACATTTAACTGCCTTGTTTGTACTACCTAAGATGCAGAGAAAATTGTTGTTCTGCGGGGTGGGGGGTTGGGGGCATTTTTATATAGAGCTGTAGTCTGTTACATCCAAAAATCTGCTAAATAGGGGTGGATTAAATCAAGGTTTCATGATAGTTTAAGAAGCTCAGCTTCTAATTATATTTATGCATTTTTAAAAGCACGACACAGGGTCTTTAAGGATGTGTTTGAGGATTTTTGAGCAATGTCTGATGATAGCTCAGAAGCCAGAGAGAGGCAGCTCAAAGGTGCTCACTGGTTGAGAACATCAGGTTGTCAGAATCAAATTTATTTTAATTTTTATTTATTTATTTTTGTCAATTGCTTACAAGATAACAGGTATAAGTAAAACATAGTTATGAATACATGGATACATATAAGGAAAAAAAAAGAAACAATAGGACAGGGACGGTAGGCACATTGGTGCGCTTATGAATGCCCCCTATAGACCTCTTAGGAAAGGGGTGAGGTCAATAGTAGACGGTCTAAGGTTAAAGTTTTTGGGGTTTGGGGAAGAAACCACAGAGTCAGGTAGAGTATTCCAGACATTGACCACTCTGTTGCTGAAGTTGTATTTCCTGCAATCAAGTTTGGTGTGATTAACCTTGAGTTTGTATTTATTGTTTGCTCTTATGTTGTTATGGTTGAAGCTGAAGTATTCATTGACAGGTAGGACATTGCAATGTATGATTTTATATACTATACTTAGATCGGACCAAAGGCGGCATAGTTGTAGATTTTCTAGGTCTAGAATTTCAAGTCTGGTGGCATAAGGTATTCTACAATGAGTAAAGGAGTGGAGAACTTTTCTTGTGAAATATTTCTGGACTTGTGTTAATATCAGATACGTAATGTGGTTTCCAGACTGATAAGCTGTATCGAGTATTGGTCTAGCAAATGTTTTGTGTGCTCTAGTTAGTAGTGTGATATTACCAGAGAGAAAGCTACGTAGGATTAGGTTAACAACTCTTAGTGCCCTTTTGGCTATGTAGTTACAGCGGGCTCTAGCACTTAGATCATTAGAGATGAGTACTCCAAGATCCTTAACAGAGCTTGGATCATCAACAACATCTTGACTATTCAGCTTGTGTTTTTTTTTTTTTTTGCCAATATGTAAGATAGAGCATTTATTTGTTGAGATTTGAAGTTGCTATTTGTTTGACCATTCTGATATATAGTCAAGGTCTTTTTGAAGGGTAGCAGTATTGTCTGTGGTGTTGAATAGCTTTACATCATCAGCAAAGAGAACGCAATTGCTTTTGATATGATCACAGGTCTTTTATGTAGAGTATGAAAAGAGTTGGTCCTAGAACACTGCCTTGGGGGATACCACTGTTGACAGGTACAGAATTTGATAGGACGCTCCCAATTTTGACCATTTGTTGTGTGTTTGACAGGAATGCTTCTATCCAGTTATGCAGGTGTCCAGTGATGCCGTAAGATTTTAGTTTTAGGAATAGTTTGTCGTGTACCACTGAATCAAAGGCTTTACAGAAGTCTATGTAGATTGCGTCTATTGCTTTCCCCTTTTGTTGTTTTTTTGTTGTTTACAAAATTGCAGAAAGCGTGAGTGGAACTGGTGCGTAGAAGGTTTTCTTCTTGTTTAATGTGATAATTGATGCATTCAGTTTTTATCTGGTGGCATAAATTTTTGTATTGGCTTTTGAAGTTGGCAACGTGACCAGATTTGTTTTTCCGCCAAAGTGATTTCTTTTTGGATTGAAGCTTCCTTATTGTTATGGGTAATTTGCTTTTTCTGGTTTTGGGAGTTGTTAATGGTACATATAGTTTGATGACTCTTTTGACTTCAAGTAAAAATATGTTGTAATGGTCTTCAACAGTATTGTGTCCAGTGAATAGAAATGGTCAATCAAGAGATGAGAGATTGTTGTTTATAAGATCATAGTTGCCTTTTTTGAAGTTATAATTGGGGATTCCGTCGTTGTGATGATTTTTGTTTGGACGTATGTTGAGACAAAAGTCAATCATGTTGTGGTCACTATTGGAGAAGGGTTCTTTAATTTGTATTCCATAAATTGAATTCAAACTATTGCAGAAAATGAGATCGAGGCAGTTGTTAAGTCTAGTGAGGTAGATTGAAGTCACCAAGAAAGATAAAAGCGTGTGGGCAGGATGCTGCCCGTGTTAGTAGTGTATTTAGCTTGTTTGCATGTTTGATGTCATAATCTGGGGGTCTGTAACATAGTAAGAACCGAAATGTGATATTTAAGGACAGTTCACAGACAATGGTCTCAGGAATAGCAAGCTCCTGGGTAACTTGGCTGTTTTTTAGATGTACGGACTTTTTATAGAAGATAACACCACCACCTCCTTTATGGATTTCACGATCAGATTGGTAAACATGGTAGTTTCTTACTATGGTAATAGAGTCAGGGAGAGGTGCATTGAGCCATGTTTCACAGACAAATATAATGTCGAATTTGGCCATATTTAGTAAGAGGAGAAATTAAGGTATTTTATTTACAAGGCTTCTTGCATTGAGTAGCTTGCATTTAAGCTTGCATTTGGAATAGAGGTAGTTAGGGGCATGTGTGCCTAGTTTTGAGTGATGTTGGATTGGATGGGGTGGGGTTGGATGCGGAGTTGTGGATTGTGTGACTTTCTTTTGATGCAATCAGCTCTGTAGTCAATGTATAGATTCTTTTCTCCATTGTCTAGACGGTTTTTGAGTTCTGCGCGGAGTTCACGGGAGTGGATTCTTTGCAGTATGGATAAGTCTGGTCTTGAGCAAAGTTTTTTTAGTTGGGATTGGTTTTTGCAATGGCATTTATTGTATGAATGAATATGCGTTTGCTGGACTCATTTTTGCATACAACTCTACAAAATCTTGGGGCCACAGAGCCGTCATTGTATTTGTACCCATGGCCATCTCTGGTTATTTCAATGATATCTTCAGGAGAGATGTTTGTTGTATTTGAGTTGCTTATGATATCATGAACTTTGGTGATGTTGTCTGATTCATTGGTGTCTTCGAGACCAAATAAGATGGCATTTGGACGTTTCTGTTCACGTTCCATGGTGACCTCTAAAAATCTTTTCTGTAGTTTTTAATGGGGATAAACATAACTCTGAGTTAAAGACTGTCCTTTATGGGAACTGAAGACATTCCTGGAGGCTGGTATCACAGTGGTTGTTTCCTTGTCATCAGATGACAGGATAACAGAGATCATGTTCCCAGATGTGAAAAGCTTTTAAAATATTGGTAGCTTGTTAACTGTTTTTATAGGGGAAGGGAACAAGCAGCCAACTATTTATATTGAGTGGAAGGAATAGAAGAGGTAAAACAAGTTAACATTTGTTGATCTCTACATGATTTCCCCTTTTTTCTTGTAAAGGCTACACTGCAGAAGAACTGCAAGCGTTGGCATTTAAGTTTAGACTATGAGTGCATTAAGTTTAGGTCTTTTGGTGTTTTAGAAAGTGTTCCTTGAATAAACATGTTCTTTATTTATCCTGTCTTTTTTCTCACTTTTCTGTGTATATTTAGAATATATAAACCTAAATACCATACATACATACATACATTAATATATAATTGATTTCAGAAAATTGTTGGGGCTATTTTTATTACTCAAGCCAACAGAAATTCCTCCCTGAACTATTTTGTCTCCATGGTTGTTTCATCTCAATGCTGTATCTCTGAAATTATAAATGTTAAATAAAATCTTACATAGCACTTCTGACAAATTGGAAGGATTGTAGTAAAGTCATTGATTCGATAAAGATAGAATAAAAAATGGCACAAAATGAATTTGTAATAAGTTAGTCACTGGTAGAGCAGCAACAATAAAATATCAAATTGTTATTATATATCAGGTATGTTTTTTATCTGGTAGTTTCAAAGTAGTACCTGAAGTTCAACATCATTAAGAAGATTGGTATTACAAGACATGTATAACCTGTTGCCAGGGGTCTTCTTTAATAGCTATATCTGTCTTCTTGTTAAACTGGAACAGTGGGTTATTGATAGCATTCAATTCAGTTACTTTATGTTATTTTGTAGGGGTGCATTTCTGTCCCATCCTAAATACTTGATTGAGATGGAATAGGAATAGACAAAATATAGTTTACTTCCAAAAAAGTTAAAATGCATTTTTGGAAGCTTTTTTCATTGTTCTGTTTTAATTTTAATTTATGTTATAGAATAGCAAATATGTATGTATGTTTTCTCATAAATCAGTGAGATTTTGGGATTACATTTTTATGATATTTTTAAAAATATATAAAATGTTAAACCAAATATATATAATAAATTTCTAGAATTGGTGATATCTAGAAGATCAATTTGGCATTTGTATGTAATTTGTTGGCACAACTTGAGCTCCTCTTCGGAATCTAAAGATAGTTATCCTATTTCAGTATAGTATTGGTTCATATTAGTAACTGTGCTACAACATCATAACAAAATACAAAAAGACCATGTGTATCTCCAGAAAGCACACAGTTTTAATCAAATAAAACCACATTGTGCCTCTCCAGCATTTTTCTATCTT